AGAAAACCATGCTTGCAGGGAAAATCCAGTGCTAGGAATCCTGTGTATTCCTGTGGGTGTGTAACCGCCATCTAATGAACCAGAAGAAGTCAGATAGGTTTTAAAAACACACTGCAGCTGGAATTCCTTGTTCATGCTGAATCTCAAATATCAAAATCAAAATTAATGTTTTGCATACAGAGCTTCAGCTCTATTGAGTTAATCCTACAATAGGCATTCATTAATAAGCTCAAATCAGAAGCATTAGGGGTAAAGGGAAAATAGTTTGCAAAACCAGTAACCCAAAGGATTGGGGACCTGGGTTCTAATAGTTTCAATTGGACCAAAAAAAAAAAAAAAAAGAAGAAGAAGAAGAAGAAGAAGGAAAGAAAGAAAGAAAACTGCAACTCCAGATGTATTATCATTTGTGACATGGCTCAAGATGGGAGACTGTGAGGAGAGTGAAGATGACAGAACTGGTGCTAACCACTGTGACAAGAACTTGAAGAGCAGCCGACGTGACATCTTTCCTATCGTGCTGCCGAAAATGTCAACTTTGTGAAGGACAGTGAGAAAATGGTTTGCCGAAAACTTGAAAGGTGGATTCCAGAGATGCCCGCCGTGTCACATGCGATATAGTCTGCTGTGGCCTGAGAGACCCACTTCTGGCTCCAGAGATGGCCTCCAGGTGGAAGACCTTCCGGTCTTCAGCCAGACTCCAAAAATGACGGCGCTTGACCTGCATATTGTCTCAAGTTTGCAGGATCATGATATACAAGAAGTGAGTTGTTAGCCAGTGTGCAGTTAGGTGGAACCAGAGACCCAGGGGCTGTGTGGACGTGGCGTTCGTGCTTGTTTCTAAAGCTAGATTCAAAGACATCCACGGGTCTAGTAAAACTCAGGTGCCTAGGGAAGGAGGGAATGTGTGCTTTGGGGACTTACATCAGCAACAGAAAGGAATTCTGGATAATCTAAGCARAAGCTAGTTGATCGGGATGATTGCCAAGTATCTCAAAGGAAAGGAGCAGAAAACTGGAATTAAGGCAGTCACAGAAGAGCAAGAAGCAGGACCCAAGCAGTGGTTCTGTGTTTGAACAACCTGGGAATCCTCTACAGACAGGCTGAATTGAAACATTGGGGAATTCCTTTCCTGGCTCTAAGAGACAGTTAGAGGTCAAGGCCACACAAATTCCACCTGTTTCATCTACCTTTGCCTCACTCAGGGTAAAGATTCAGAAGAAGGTCCAGGTGGCTGATCTTGGAGTCATTCCAGCTTAGGTGGATAGTGACCGTAAAAGGGAAGAGCTGGCCCCTAGGGAGCCCTTAAGTATTAGTAGTGGGCAGCAGACCCCTAGGGTACCCACAGTGTGGCTGAGGGCATTCCTCCAAACTTAGGAGCCATTAGAATGTGGCAATGGATGCTAAAAAGCCAAAGCCCAGAACATGCACACTCAGCCACCAGAGAAGAGACCTTCAGGCCCTGAATCGTGTATTCTGCATAGACACTTCTCAGCCTGGAGTTTCCTAGCTAGAAGTTTAAAATCCAGCTTCATCCCTCTTCTTCTCTCATTTTTTGTGACTCCATGAATGTTAAAAATATTGAAAAAAGGAACAGCACACAGAGCCAGTTTTATGACAATTATAGAAACACCCCCAAATGTTTCCAGGAAGAAAACAAAAACCAAAAAATACAAAAGCCTGGCCCCTGAGAGACACCCATTTCAGTTCTACCATTGCTATTTATTTTGCAGCCGGCGCTGCTTGGATGGTACCCGGGGAACAGTGCAGACGCCAGTTTTGCAAGGGATGAATAAGTGGACCATGTACCTCCAGTGGAAGATTCTGGTTCCAAATCCATCCCAGTCCTAGGGAAGTTCAGAAACCTGAATCAAATGGACCCTTTCAGCAGCTGGAAGAGCCTGCTCTGAGTTTGCTTGTTTGTTCCTCTAGAACTGTGGTTCTTAGCGTGTGGTCCTGGAACTCTATAAGACCAAAGAAGCTGCTGGCAATGCACATTCTCAGGCTCAGACCCACTGATTAAGAAACTCTGGGGTGGGGCCAAGTGATCGGAGCTGTTGCAAACCCTCCGGGGGATGCCAAGACTTGCTTTTGTTAGAGAACCACTGTTCTAGAAACACTACTTATGGCTTCTATGGCAAACAGTGCTCCGCCAAAATATTGTACCAGGATTTTTCAATAAGTAGTCCTTTCAAGTCCTTTCAAACCTGCACAATGAACCTTGACCAATGATAAGAAGTCAGTGGAAAAGAAATGAATGTCTGACAGAGTTTTTAAAATAATTACATGAAACCAAACCAAACAGGGAAAGTTTTGTTTTTAAACTGATATGGTTACAACCTGTGGTCTTTGGCCAATTAATTTCCTTGGGGTGGCAGGGCGGGGGTGTCTCCTTCTCAGTTCATGAAACAGCATTTTCCTGTTCCCAGTACCATTTCAGAGCAACCCTGGCAATTACAAGCAAATTTGCATTCGATGTCAGCATTGAGATTTGTTTTATCACCTGTTTTTGCTAGCGAGCTCTGTACGACGTGCTCTACAGATTTAATGAGATTGGGTTGTTTTATTTATGTTAAAATAAAACTATTCACACCGACATAGGTGATCAAGGAGCAAATTAAGGAGGTTACAACAGTAAATTGGTAGTTGTTTACTTTTTCCAAGAGTGACATGAAGGCTGTAGAGAGTAGTCCGCAGAGAGGGTGATATGGGAAGCAGAAGCTTCTGTCCAATACCTTAATAATTACAAATGCAATCATAACAACAAAAGGCAGAAAACACAATCACATTTCACATTTGCAATAATATCCTTTGTAGTGAGGAAGAGCTGAGAAGTGAGGTACATGTAAATGTTCAGTTTTTATCATCTCACACACACAAATGAAATAGCTGCCTGCCTCAGAAGGGTAATGAATGATTTGATTCACAGAGAGTTTGATCTTCTAATAATGGCTCCAGACACCTCTGGACTGTCCATGGAAATTGGTTTCCATGCTTTGGTTGTGGTCTAGAAGCCCCTCCCTGAATTATAAATTAATATCATTTTTCTCTGGGTTAATTCCACACTAAGAAATGCAATGATTTGTTGTTGTTGGGGGATTTGTTTGTTTGTTTGTTTGGGTACTAATGGGGATTGAACTCAGGGACACTCARCCACTGAGCCACATCCTCAGCTCTATTTTGTATTTTATTAGAGACAAGGTCTCACTGAGTTGCTTAGCACCTCACTTTTGCTGAGGCTGGCTTTGAACTTGTGATCCTCCTGCCTTAGCCTCCCGAGCTGCTGGGAAAATGAAATTATTTGAATGACCCCTTTTTCCCCAGTTAAGTGTGTGCTTGTACATGCCAATCATGGTATGTTCAATGCATTAGCAAACTGAATTTTGGGTAAAAAACTSAAAGGCCAGGGCTAAAGTAAATTCTAACTTAGAAACATGAGAAGTTACCAAGGAAAGTGAAGCATGCATTTTGCAAGGACTAATGGGGGTCCCCCTGAGATTTAAGCACAGGTTCATGGATATTTTTCATGTAAAACAAAAAAAAATTTTAAATCAACTTTTTAACATCACATTTTAATTTCTTTTCAGAAAAGTTTAAGATAAGGACTCTTTTACCCAGATTCCATAGACTACTTGATACTTTCCATTTTSTTTCTCTTTACCCATGAGTTTGGAGAAGTATGAAGAAATAGACAAATTTCTATTTGTTTTTGTTTTTGTTTTTCCTTTTTGTTTTTCTGTTTTGTTTTGTTTATGAAGTAGGAGCAGAGAAATTTCCTCATAATTCAAATAGGACATTTTTATAATTTAGAGAGAAGGGAAGTTGACCAGTTTACCCCTGACAGGAGGGACTTTGCCATCCATTGCCAAGTCTTCTGTGCCCTCAGACTCTGGTATGATGTAAAGGATTTTCCCAACTTATGCTGGATTCCTGAAAAGGCATATAAACAAGACCATTTGTTTGGTCTCAAGACAACTCACATTTGCAAACTGAGTAATGATCTCATGGAAGTTCCATAGTGACATACCCATCTGCAGACTGGCTCAGCCCCTAGTCAAAAACCAGTCCCGATGAGATCCAGGAAGCTGAAGACTTTCAATGGGTCAGATGATCCTGCGTCTAATTTGGCACAGAGAAGTTTGGGTTACAGATATGTAACCCTCTTTATACTTTCAACTTGAACGGTCCATAACAAATTGGGGAAACGTGTATGTTTTCAGGGGTGACACAGAAACCTGATATGACTGTGATTCAACTGAAATCACTTCTTTACCCCAGGGTCTACCTTGTTATTACAATGAGCAGTCCTTCCCTAAGATTGGAAGATGGGTGGTGCTTGATTGAATACATGAAGGCTTCAATTCATCTGAACATGTAGTTCATGTTCAGATGAATAGCTAAATTTGAGCTATTTAGGGACATTGAACACTGGGCAAGTCAGACATTCAAATGCCACCTGGGTTTCATAGGAATTCGTGTGCATGATTCAGGGGTCCCAAACTCAAGTGCCTACAGGAGAGACAGGTAAAAACAGATTCAAGATGTGGACCAGATGAGCACCCACCCCAGGTGAGGGAGGAGCTGTTTGTTGATTCTTGCCCCTTAAGCCAGCTGTTCTGAATTTTCCAGAGAAATTAGAAATCAGAAGAATATTATAAAGCTTTCCTAATTGAAGAAAATATTGGCAACTAGTTCCATTTTTTTTTTTAAGCTGTGAGCCAAATAGAAGAAGTCTAGGAGCTGGACTTTGAAAAGCATTCCCTGGGTACATTTCACCATTTCCTAAGAAATGAGCTATGGTTCTGCAGATGTCCCCAAAATGACAACCCCCAAACCAACCCATCCTCTTTAGAAGCCTGCCCTGAATAGCAGGGCTTCTTGGGCAGTCACAGTGATCATTGTAATTGTTGCTTCTAAAATGGACAGTTTCCTCCTGCTAGAGATTTGGTGTTACAGTGTCAGCCTACGAGGTAGCCGTCACTTCATAACATGTCTTCCTTCAGGCCTGATGGAATCGGAACTGTGACTGTTGAAGAAAAGGAACGCTTTGAAGAAATCAAAGAGAGACTCCGAGTTTTGCTGGAAAATCAGATTACGCACTTTAGGTAAGGATCTGGGCTTGGACTGATAAGGAGGGTGAAACTGGGGAGGCTCGGTTCCCCTAAACCATCAATCTGTCAGCGATACATCGCATCTCTCAAAATAACTGAATGTGGAAAACCAGCCATTGAACATGGTTCGGCAGTAGCTAGCCGATTTCCAATTAAGTTCATTTTCTTTCTACTCAAAGAAAGAAGCCTTTCTTTTAGGAGATGACATTGGTCATCAGTCTATTATTAAATGTTGAATTTGAAGCTTCTTTAAGTTCCTGATTAAAAGAGTTTAAAAAAAATCAGTGAATCATAATACATGGGGGTTGGGGGGTGCAGTTCCCAGAAGTTTCTGCCTTGCCCACACCCCCAAAAGTAGGATGAGCTGGCTCTGCAGAGCAAGAGAGAGATTTGGATTCACCTGGGAGACCAGATATCCCACACACACTGCAGAAAGATCCAGTACAGGACGTTTCCACCACAAAGCCCATTTCTCCCTTAGAGCAAATTGGGCATTTCTGATACTCTGCAAGTGCTTCTGGGCCAGGGATCTTGAAATAGAAAGAGTATATGTAATTTTTCCTATTTATTAAACACTTCCCATGTGCCAGTCACAGAAATCTATTAGCTTATGTTTTTAATTGGGAAGGACTTTGTAAGGTAGTTTGTATAGAATGAGAGCAGGAGAGGTTAAAGAACTTGACCGAGGCCATCCAGGACAGTGTGAGTTGAAGTCACCCATGCCACTTTCGGTATGAAGAGCAGTGGTTTAAAGAGCTCATGACAGCCTGACATAGCTCTTGGGGCTTGTAGGGCTACCTGACATATTTCTATCTGCCACCAAAGTCCTCTGCTTGAGGGAGCAGGATTTCAGTGGAGGATCACACAGGACAGTAAAATGCATGACCTACAGCCAAAGGTCCAATAAGAAGGAGAAACCTCAAGAAAGCAAAGAATCAGGAATTCACTCTGAGCTCCCTCTTCTATTTCACGCATTATGCTTGGGGGATTTAATGTGTCTTTGAACTTCAGCCTGTTTCAACAAATTTTTGTAAGTGCCCACCTCTATAATAATAAGGGTCACCTTCCAGCAAACTAATGGTTTTGCTTCACAATAGAAATCTAAACACAGCCTTATGTCATCACTTTAAATATTCTTTTCTGCCGCAGACATTTGCAGAGTGCCTCTTTAGTCATTATTCACACATACACATATATACATTATATACACACATATATGGTGTGAATTCAGATTAACATAACACAATGTGACAAAATAAAAAGCATTTTCCGTTCCTCGGAGAGAGTTGCTATAGGAATCAAATCGCAGCATATTTCCTGCTAAAATGTAATCGATCTGGGCAACCTGAAGAATTTTGTGTCTTTTTTAGGTATTGCTTTCCATTTGGTCGGCCCGAAGGTGCTTTAAAAGCTACTCTCTCGCTCTTGGAAAGGGTAAGAACGAAAGTGAAAGACTGATAAGGAGACTTACACCAAATGGTAACGAAATAGTGTTGTTGAATGACCCACTTTGTCATTTCCAAAGGATTTCTTTACCGTTCATCAAACATCAGAATAAAAATGAGGAAACTGCCAAGTTGCTAGAAATTTTATCTCCGGACCCCCAAATAGTTAGGATAAGTTGAAAAGATGTTCCTGGCCCTTCCCTGATGGGTGGGTGGGCTTTGGCCTCCTAACTGTGCGTTACCATTCTATGTTTTTGTGTTGTTGTTTTTGGGTTTTGGTACTGGAGATTGAACCCAGGGGCGCTTTACCACTGGCTACATCCCTAGCCCTTTCCTTCTTTCTTTCTTTCCTTAATTATTGAGACAGGATCTCACTAAGGTACTAAGGCTGGCCTCAAACTTGAGATCCTCCTGCCTCAGCCTCCCATGTTGCTGGGGTTACAGGCATGCCACAATATTTTCTCTTTAAMCACATATCTCCATCATTGCTCAATGACCAGGAGGCAATCACAACTAATTTTAAACCCCAAACCTTAGAACAGCATAAAGGAGTAAGCCTGGTTCAAACCTTCTCAATAACCCCTTTTCTTTCTGCCTAAAGGTTTTGATGAAAGATATTGTTACCCCAGTGCCACAAGAGGAGGTAAAAACGGTCATCCGTAAATGTCTAGAGCAGGCCGCTCTAGTCAACTACTCGCGCCTCTCTGAATATGCCAAAATTGAAGGTAAGGTTCCCTTYTGTCCCCAGTTTTGAATTTAATTATACAATGTCTCCCTGGGAAATCCTTTTTCCCCCCCTATGGGCACCAGAAAACAGTGGTCCATCTGAGTATGTTAAGCTGAAACCTGAAAGCACTTGAAATCTAGAAGCTTCTTGGCTGTGGTCCAATAAATAAATAAGAGGCTCAGGAGCCAGCCTTTGCGGGGAAGACTAGTGAATGGAGATGTGATAAGATAACTGAGGTCCTTATAAGAGATCGCATTGGCCCTAACTGTCTGTTCTACTGCTAATATTCTCCTAGGAAAGGATTTGGTTAGATTGCTACCTGCCTTTCCTTCTTTAAACACAGGGAAAAGGAGCAGTCTCTTATCTCCTGCTGATAGCATTAGAAAAACAAAAACAGCTGAATAATGTAATGTCAAGGTTTAGCCTTAAGCCTTCCTGAACCCTTGAAAGTATCTTGTCGAGGCTGGGCACAATGGCACATGCCTGTWATCCCAGCAGCTGAGGAGGCTGAGGCAGGAGGATCACAAGTTCAAAGCCAGCCTCAGCAACTTAGAGAGGCCCTGAACAACATAGTGAGACCCTGTCTCAAAATAAAAAATGAAAAGGGCTGGGGATGTGGCTCAGTGGTAAAGTGCCCCTGGGGTCAATCTCTGGTACTAAAAAAAAAAAAAGAAAGAAAGAAAGAAAAAAAGAAAGTATCTTATCCTTTGAGAGCTTTTGAACTTGATGGCAGGTTGGCATGGAGCCCTAGATGACTCAGGTTGGCTTTAGATCTCATTCATTGCTACTAAAGACCTGGGATGATTGCTACCACTTCGCTCTCAAGTTTTAGGAAAGTGGTCACTGATGATCCTATAATCACCCAAAAGGCACTTTGAGTAAACTCAAGTTGAGAAAGGTAATGGTTCTCTGGGACCTGTTTCTTCGMAGAGGCATTAATCACTTTTCATTGTTACCCCGTTGGCTGCTATAGGGTGATTTGAAAACCACACCCAACTTGACCAGTGGTGTAAGTGTATAAATGTGGGAGTTTTGTGTGCAAAACTTGATGTGTCCGCATTCTGGAATCTGATGTTCTGTCACACACGAAACACAYGACACCTGACCAAGTCCAGCAAAGGCACGTTGTCTACCTCAGGACACGACTAGGGAAGAAAATAAAATTTAAAAAAAGAGAAAGAAACTAACCTACCACCCAGACCCTACCACTTTACCCTGCCAAAGTCCTTGTTTCCTTAGAGAATTCGGTCAAGATCATGTCAAATTTGCAGCATTCTGTACATCACATATTCTCCCTCTCTCAATTTTGTCTGTCTGACGATGCAAATTGTGTACCAGTGGTAATGAATTCATTGTTATGCATCCAAGGAGAAACACTTAAGAATTGGGCACTAAAAGGATGTTTATCAACTCTTGACTTGGTAATGAGTGATAAAAATAGAGGAACAAGAAGATTGATCGTGAAAGGGCTATATTAGCAGATAATTGTTCCAGCATTGACCGTCCCAGGACATACTGATTGCAACCAATGATTGCATTTGGTCAAGTGAACCAGGTACTGAATAATTCTAGGCAAGGACAGAGATGGGATGGGATCAGAAAACGTTTGGTCACCATGGCTGCTCCCTCGTAGATCTTGGTCTAGCGATTACTTAGTCTTTTGGTAAGATCTGCTCTCTTCTTTCAGATAAATAAATCCAAAAAACAAACTTTAAGATCTGTAAGTAAAAATGCATTCATTTCCAAAGTAGATCAGCTGGTCTGTAATTTCCTTTTGTGCCTCAATTCTTCTCGGTTGTGTTAATTATCTTTTGCACTGTGACTTTTAGGTCTGGGGATTCTTTGAAGAAACCAATCCTTTTTTTCCAACTCTCTTTTCAGAGAAGTACCTCATTCCACACTACCCGCTCTCTTCTGCTTCTCTCCTTCCTTGTCCGTGATTGGCTCAGCCACTTTTTGACGTGACCTCTGCAAAAGTGGCTGAGACCCCAATTTCAAAGCATGCTGGGATTGTTAATTCAGACAACCCAACATCCTCTGGCTGCATGTATCAGGTTTTCTTTCATGAACATAGTCCACCCTGGGCTGGGACATTGCAGCTTCAAAGATATTACTACCAGACAGCTTTCTTTCACAAGGTTCTGATCCTACCCTCAGAAAAGAAATCTTCCATTTTTTTGCATTTGAGCTCCCTCTGTGAGCATGAACAGCTTAGTGCCCTGCGAATTCTGGAAAGAAGTTGTAGTAATATTGCTGGCGACTATGTTTATGAAGAAATACCTCAAAGAGCCTTAGATACTAAAGTCTTAAATCCTTAGTATCTTGGAGCCGTAAATCAATGAGATTCTGTTTCCCCTTGACTCATGATGTTTTTTGGTCATTGTATTCTTGCCAACAACTCTAAAGAGACGTGTAAGATCATGGTCACAATCTCTCTCGTGACTCACGGCATGCTGAATGGTTAATCCAGTAGATTACCGATTTTTGAAACTCCTTTTTTTCTTTTATCCTGTGTTGATCCCAAAATACTCTGTGGCTATTTTCCTTTGAGCTAATGTAACGTTTTCCTCTAACCTGTGACCTTTGAACTCTTTACCTCTGACCTAAGCCTCTTGCATGCCCAAATCCTCTTTTATAGGGAAAAAGAGAGAAATGTATGAGCATCCTGTCTTCTGCTTGGCCTCCCAAGTGATGGATTTAACCATTCGTGAGTACCTACCACCTCCTCACCACGCTTTCCTTCACTCTTTTCTGTTTTCATTATTTCAAGAAAAATCCAGGTCCAAACCAACTCACTCTCCTTGCTTCAAGTTTTTTAGCATTGGCTTGTCTGTTGGTTCTGTCTGTGAAACCCAGTGTGAGAAGTCCAGTCACTTTTTTATCAACCTAAAACAGGTTAGACAATTAAGCCATTTGTTTGTGATAAACTCAAACTCGTCTGTAAGTTTTTCAGTTCTTCTCTGTCTGTGACCTGAATGCATTTTTACTTTGCTTGTGTGTGACCCTAATCTGTAAAGTGCTTGTCACTGGTACACAATCCAAAGGTAGCAGCTAGGCTGGGGGAGCAACGCATTAGGTGTCAGATGAAGGACATTTGGGGCAAAGGAACGCCTCCTTCTCCACGTTGGAGAGGTCAAACTACTATGGGTACGAGATCACGTGAGGTGGTCCACTCTCTGTAAAAACTGAGATCTCATTTGCCTCCCCTCTGTTCTCTCTCAAGCTGGGAAGCTTTCCCTTGTTCTCTCTGGAGGGTTTGACTTGTCCTTTGTCCTCGAAGCTCTGGCTAGAACATATGACTTAATTGTCATTTGGAGAGTTCATGTATGTTTCATAGCTTGATTTCACATTAAACTTAATTTGACTAATTTTCTATTTGTGCAGCATTTTCCACCTCTGTGAAGGAGCCTTTTTTTGCTGGCCCCCACACTTCGGGGCGGTGGGAACCCAAGGGCAACCTTTGCTTTCCAATACCATGTATCACACATAAGTTGGGGGGCATTGTGGTCCACTTGCTCATTAATCTTGCATATGTGTTCTTGTTTCTCTCTCTCTTCTCTCCTTGTTGTGCTCTCTCTTTCAAATAGAGAATCAAAAGGAYGCAGGTGAACCAATTGTATATGCATTATCGATTATCAGGACTGTTGAGTTATATTCAGTTTTTGTTTCTGTTTTTGTTCTTTTAATAGCTCCTTAAGGTATGTACTCCCAGAGAGCCATGCGGAGTTGCAATAATACTTAAGGAGTTAATTTGTGCTGTCTAAATACATCTCATGCCCATTTGATGTTGACCTTTATAGAGCAGAATTTCCATAAAGGCATAAGCTTTGTAGGAAAGAATTCTGGTTTTGCTGCAGAGATTCATTTCATCTTTGGTTTCAGGATACAGTGATTTGGCCTCATGCGCGTTAAAAAAAAAAAAAAACACAAAGTTACTGAACCAAACGAATCTTCCTTTTTGCTTTTCATTCTCTCTCTCTCTCTCTCTCTCTCTCTCTCTCTCTCTCTCTCTCTCTTTTGTTTTTAGTTTTTGTTTTTGGTTTTGTTTTCTGTTTTCTGCCCTATGGAGAAGTTTGTGTTCTTCGATGAGTGTTTATTGGCCAAGACAGACGGAAGTTGTGTCCGTGTTGTATCTTGTATGTATTCTGTGATGACGTAGAGGAACAGGCAAATGGAGCAGGGGTCATTGCTGAAAGTTTCCCAGAGGGGTGGCTCCTAGGAAGTCCTCTGGCTTCGAAAGTTTTCTTCTTGTTTGGTCCCCAAACTTCTGAGCCTATTTTGAGAGGAGCTCTGGCTAAAAAATGTTCATAAATGTATAATATTAGTCATTATTTTTAAGACCTAAGAGTCTCAAAAAATAATAATTGTCAGATCTAGAGTTAACAGTTGAGCTTATTTCTGGACAATTCAGAGAGCATTTTTGAGCCAAGCCTTAGTTTAGCAGTAAATATTAGAAGACTCACAAAACTATGTTCAAGACACATGAGCCTGCCCCCCTCCCTCTCTCTCTCTCTCTCTCTCTCTTGTGGGAAAGGCATTCATTCATTCATTCATTCATTCACTGGACAAATGTTTAGTGAGAGCCCAACTTGACCCGGTTGTTCAAAGCCAGGTATAATGTAAACAAGAGGGAGACAGCTGTTAGCCTCATGGAACATATGTGCGTGTGTGTAATTGACAAATTCAGTACACTGCAATACCTGTTGGTTGAGTGTGTGTGCAAGAGTTGGGGTGCTGTCAGAAAACCACAAAAGTCTTCATAAGGTGATAAGGCTTGAATTTCATCTTGGCAGAGATGAATCAGAATCAGTTCAGGGGAGCTGGAACTGAAGATTGGGAAGGCATTCTTGATAGAGAAAAATCTGCAAATAAGTAAAACCATATTGCTAATCAAAAAAAAAAAAACTAAGGCTTACTTAATGCTTATCATACTCCTTGCATGATTCTACATGCTTTGTCTGTGTTAACACATTTAATCCTCAGAACCCCTTGTGGKAGACAGGCTGTTGTTGCTCCCGTTTTATAGATGAGCAGACTGAGGCACAGAGAGCTTAAACATGCACTTCTGGAAACATAAGTGGTAGAACCAGAATCTGAGCCCAGCAGAAGCACGCTCTTGACTACTCTGTAATTGAACATTCCGCAAATCAAAGTAGATGGTGGCAGTGGCGGATGTTGATGGCAAAGGTAGGCATGGGGGCAAGATCTCAAAGGCCTTCATATGCCATAATGAGACAGAGCTCTGACTATATCTCATGGTCCAAAGGTTTTCAACCTGCAATCTAAGCCCACTTTTGCATGCATAGGATATTTTTCAGAGGAATGATTTCCCAGGTCTCACCCCTCCCCCAAAAGTGGCAGAGAGCCACCAGAGGTCCCCTAAGCAAGAGACAGCTTGGTGGTTTGCACTCCAGAAAAATCACACTAGTGGAAATGGGGAGAAACAACTGAAGTGCAGGAACAGAGGAAAACTGAATTGTCAACACAAGGTCAAAGCAGAGATGGGCTTAAGGCTTGGGACATTGAAGCTCTTCTAAACATCCCAGGTCTCAATCACGATTACAGTCAGAGCTTCTTTGCTGACCTTTACATTTTTGTTATTTTCTTCCTCCTCTCTTTTCAATGTCCTCAGGGAGTAGAGCACCAAAATCTGGGTGGGTATGGAGGTAGCAGGACACTGCCAGAGTTCCAAATTGGGTGAGCTGGAATGCAGGGACTAGAGTGTGGCGGCCCCTGAGTCCTTTAGTCAGGCGGAGCTTGAGAAGCAACAGAATCTGCAGGTGGCTCTTTGGTGGACTTGGGTGTTCTGGCTGGTGGCATTATTAGAAATTAAGAGTTTAATCACAGTATCTCAAAGAGGGGAAAGCTGCAAAGGATTGCTAGTGTGTGAAAGAAAACCTGTGACTCCTGCAAATGAATTCTATTATTTTAAATACATATCCACTGAAACTGTCACATGTTCCCCACCAAGCAGGCTCTAAGAAAGTCGACACTACTATTGCTGTTTTGCCTCAGTTCTTGGCTAAATACTTGCATAATTTTCTGAGCATCATAACGATTCCACTGGAATTTGAAATAAAGCAACTTTTTCCTTCGAACATGCCAAGGATTTCCAAAATTGGACAGAGATGACTTATAGAGATAGATATATGATAGAGATAGAAATAGGTGGGTGGGTAGATGGATAGACGGGTATATACAAACAGAGATATATAGCTAGATAAGTAGGTGGATGGGTACATGGATGAGTGAATGGTGGATGGGATGGACGGTGGGTGGATGGGTACTTGGATGAATGGACAGAGGGATGGATGGATGGATGAATGGATAGATGGATGGATGGACAGATGGATAAATAGTCATCCCATCTCAGGCCCAGGCACTGTGCTAAGGACTTTACATGGAGGATCTGATTGGATCTTCCTTTACCTTATTCCCATGAAGAAGACTTCATTATTGCTCCACATACACATGAGGGAGCTGAGATTCAGGAAGGTAAGTGAGTTTTTCAAGCAGAATTTGACTCAGATCTGACTAAATGCAAGGACCATAGTTTTTTTTTTTTTTTAAAGAGAGAGTGAGAGAGGAGAGAGACAGAGAGAGAGAGAGAGAGAGAGAGAGAGAGAGAGAGAGAGAATTTTTTAATATTTATTTTTTAGTTCTCAGCAGACACAACATCTTTGTTGGTATGTGGTGCTGAGGATCGAACCCGGGCCGCACGCATGCCAGGCGAGCGCGCTACCGCTTGAGCCACATCCCCAGCCCAGACCATAGTTTTTGACTCTTTTTGTCACTCAGATTTTCTAGCTGAAATGGTAGACACTTCAATAATATTCATTCATTCAGTAAATACGTCCAAAAGTACACACAACCTGTCACATAGGAAGACTACAAAATAATAAAACCATACCTTTGGGGCCAAATTTATTTTCATCCTAAAGCCTTCCTGAGGGCAGTTGAGATTCCTGAAGATTGCCAAAGAACAAGGGACTTTTTTCTTGTCCAGTTGATAGAAACTTTGTAGAGTGAGTCATATCTATCCAGAGTACTTCCAAGCAGATTCTGTAGTGTGGAGGTTCTGTTTCTTTTCCTATATCAAAGCAAATGTCCCACAAGTCCAAGGCCTGTTCATACAGAGAAAGGACCAAGTCCACAATTCCCATTAGCCCACAATCCAAAGCCATCACTCTGCTTTCTTCCCAAGGGACCAGCGAGGGAGAAGCAGTGCCTGCAAGATCCGGGCAGTTCTTGGAGGAGGACAGCCCATGCTTCAGGTCTTATGCATGAGGAGTTAAATGTTTCTCTTTTCACCCTTTTTGTTTCAGTGATGCATGCATCAGCGTTTCCAGGCTCAAATTATTCTGTTCTCTAGCACCTTATTTATACTTTACAGAAAGTGAGGGGGGCAAAGAGAAACATATTTCAAAGACCGTCATCAAGAAGGATTCTCAAGGAAGAGAATTTGTTGTCTCTCAACAAATGTGAGGCCAGAGTCTATTCTACTTCCCCAGAAAGATATGATGCCACAGAAATAACTGTCATTTATTGAGAATCTGTTTTGTGCTGAGTAGTTATATTCRTATCTCATTTAATTCTTGCAAGAACCATATAAGCTTTTTTATGAACACATTTCATTGACTCTAAAAGGCCATCAGTCATACTATGCATACCAATGGACTAAGTATGAAATAATGCTGTCAACTAAATTGTGACAAGCAAGATATATCCAGATTTCAGAAATGTTAAAATGTGCTTCGTATACTCAATTAAATAAGAAGCTATTCTCTTGTGCATGGAAATCAAGTGACTTTCCCAAGGTTAAAMAGAAGATTAGTTGTAGCCAAATTTGAACATGAGTCTTTCTAATTCCACATTTTCAACTTATACACTATGAAATGCTTGAACTTTTCCAGCAACAAGATCCCAAAAAGGGGTTTCTCAAATAGTAAAAAATAAAATGTAGGGTTATTAGATAATCCCAAACCCTCATTTAACAGATCAGAAAAGAACCCAGATTAAAAATAAACTGAGTGACTTACCTTCCACCAGACTCCCTTCCCCTCCATTCATAAGACTATAGTTTCATCCTCAACCCATTACCTATCCCAAGCATCCCACTATACAGCTGATGACATCCAGCATCCACACATTAGAACTTAGTTGTGCAGATCCAAGGAATCAGCCCTAACACTCAGAGATTTGGGATACCAAAACTTGAACTCACTTGGCTCCACTGGGTTTTCTAATTTCTGTATCCTCACTTTTATTTTCCACAAAAGGTGCTAAGAATGATTGCTCCCCCCATGGGGCCATTTTGAAAATTAAGACACACGGGGCCATTTTGAAAATTAAGACACATATTCTAAATAAAGCTCTTAGCATAGGGTCTGGCACATAATATGCACTTGCTATATATACACATATACAGACTGTCATTATTTGTTCATTATTATTTAAAAGGATACTCTTCCAAAACCAAAGCTGTGGTGCAGACATAGTTTTTTATTTCCAAAATGGAACATAAGACAGTACTTTCAAACTCTAATGTCCAGAGGAATTTTATTGAAATGTGGATTCTGATTTATTACATTTGTGATGGAGACTG